CGTGAGCTTGGTGGAGGCCAGGCCGAGGCGGAGCACGGAGCGGTTCCCGATGAGGCCGGTCTTGAGGTTGCGGACGCCCTCGTTGCCCACGGGGTTGTGGCCCAGGTTCAGGGTCTCGAGGCTCTGCGTGTGCGGCTGCGAGCGGCGGGAACAGGGAGGCCGTGGGAGCGGCGGCGGCGCGCCGGGGCCGGCGGCAGGATGCAGGGCACGCGGGATGAAGGGCAGGAAAAGCGGGAGGCGGGAGCGGCCGGCGGGACGGGAGCGCCGGCACGCCGCCGCCGGCCGCGGCCACTCACCAGCGTCATGCCCAGGTAAGCCATGCCCGTGTGAGTGAGCTGGTTGTTCCAGAGCACCAGCGTGACCAGCCCCTTCCGCTGCTCCTTGAGCCCCTCGCAGAGGTAGGCCAGGCCTGGGGGAGAGCGGCGGCGCCGTGAGCGCGGCGCTTCCTGCACGGAGCCGGCGCCGCGAGGGTGGATCTGGCACCGTGAGCGCGGAGCCGGCACCGTGAGCGTGGCGCTTCCCGCACGGAGCCGGCGCCGCGAGCGCGGATCTGGCACCGTGAGTGCGGAGCCGGCGCCGTGAGCGCACATATAGCCGTGAGCGCGGCGCTTCCCGCACGGAGCCGGCGCCGTGAGGGTGGATCTGGCACCGTGAGTGCGGAGCCGGCGCTGTGAGTGCGGAGTCGACACCGTGAGCGCGGATATAGCACCGTGAGCGTGGAGCTGGCTCCGTGAGCGTGGCGCTTCCCGCACGGAGCCGGCGCTGCGAGCGCGGATCTGGCACCGTGAGTGCGGAGCCGGCACCGTGAGCGCACATATAGCACCGTGAGCGCGGAGCCGGCGCCGTGAGCGCACATATAGCCGTGAGCGCGGCGCTTCCCGCACGGAGCCGGCGCCGTGAGGGTGGATCTGGCACCGTGAGCGTGGAGCCGGCACCGTGAGCGCGGCGCTTCCCGCACGGAGCCGGCGCCGTGAGGGTGGATCTGGCACCGTGAGCGTGGAGCCAGCGCCGTGAGCGCACATATAGCACCGTGAGCGCGGAGCCGGCACCGTGAGCGCGGATCTGGCACCGTGAGTGCGGAGCCGGCGCCGCGAGCGCGGATCTGGCACCGTGAGTGCGGAGCCGGCACCGTGAGCGCGGATTCAGCACCATGAGCGCGGATCTGGCACCGTGAGCGCGGAGCCGGCAGCGTGGAGCCGGCATTGTGAGCGCGCAGCCAGCGCCGTGAGCGCGGTTTCAGCACCGTGAGCGCGCAGCCAGCACCGTGAGCGCGGATTCAGCACCGTGAGCGCAGAGCCGGCGCCGTGAGCGCAGAGCCGGCGCCGTGAGCGCAGATTCAGCACCATAAGCGCGGAGCCGGCACTGTGAGCGCGGATTCAGCACCGTGAGCGCGGCGCCTTCCTGCACGGAGCCGAGGCGGTGGGGCCAGGGGGGCTCCCGCTCCCCTTCATCCCACTGGGASAGGGGGCAAACAGAGGCCGGGGCGGTAAAAGGGATGGGATGAACTTCCTGCTCCAGCCCTGCTTCTTCGCAGGGTGCTCCGGGCGCGTGGGCGCCCCGGGGTGGCACCCATCCGGCCCCGTGGGTGTCCCCGGCCGCGCTCGGGGGAGCCGGGGTAATGCRGCGCGGGAGGGACGGGCGGCGCTTGCGCAACGCCTGCTTCCAAAGCCGGGACGAGTGGGAAGGCGGAACGGGAGCACCCAAGGGAGCTGCCTCGGAGGCACGAGGTGCCTCTTCCTCTGCCCTGCGCATGGGGAACCTCGTGGCCTGGGCCAAGGTTCTTAAAAGCTGCTCAAGGGTCTTGGAGACCCCCAAGGGTGCCGGCRCGCTTCCCACGTGGGAGAGGCGCGAAGGTTTCGCTCCCTTCCCAACGCAGGTTTTCCCGGGTGTTTTCCCTCCCCCGGGAGCGCTCCGCGGAGGACAGGGCGCCCGGCTCACCTGAGTCCAGGATGTGGTTGTTGCGCAGGTCTAAGATCTGAATGGAGCAGTTGAACTTGAGCAGGTTGCCGAGCTGAGCCGAGTCCTGCAGCCCGTTGAGCTTGTTGTCGGCCAGGTAGAGCTCGCGCAGGTTCATGTTCATCTTCAGCGCCGTGGCTGAAGGCGGGGGGGCCCGTGAGCCCCGCGGACGGGGGGGCCCTCGGGGGC